TCCATTAAAATTCCATGTTATTTTCAGCAAAAGGGTAATGGTGAAGAACACACACTTATTGATCATTTGCTATCCATATGAAATTCTAACTACACGTCAAGACTGTACACTGACATGTGTTTTTCCGCCAACACACGTAACGCCATGATTGCATGTTTCAGACCATTTAAATTTTATGTGTTAGACTAACGCAACAAGGGTCATGATTATATACTTTTTAAATTTTAAATTTACTTGTTCCTCTACCTTTACGACAATGGTGGCACACATATTAACCATTTAAATACCATGGGAATTTCCACCAACTCAGCAAGGTTCACGATTGCACACTTTTCACCATTTAAATTGAATATGTTCTTACACCAACACGACACAGTTCTTGGTCACATACCTATTGAGTATCATTTTGTTATAGATTTGTACTGTAGAAGAATGTCGTAAGGAAGGAGATGCATATATAATGAATCCTGTAAACTGGGATCAGAGTGGACCAGTCTTGATGTGTAATTTTCTAAAGGTATTTAAGATTCAAAATAGTTGATTATACGTATACAAGGATATTGGCACATTTCATGGGAAAAAGATCACGGCGCGTGAGTTAGTTTGATTTCAAATTGATAATGACATTACGCTACTTATTGCAGGCTCGTGTTGACTGTTTAACAACAGATCCTTGTGTACCCGATGTGAACAATCCACATGCTGTGAACTCTACATCATTGAAGGCAGTGATTGAGGGAATAATAGACTATTATACAAATTTTGGTCTTTGTGACGATACCGTAGATGGTAGGTAGCTCATATGACAAACTGTTGATAGTGTGTGTGATGTTTAACATAGAGGTTAACATAAATGGAAAGTTTGAGCTAAGTGATATTACCATAGATGGGAAGTGAGATCGAGGGGAAGTTAACATAGATGATAAGTGTGACCTAAGTGATGTTAACATAGATGGAAAGTGTGATTTAGGTGATGTTAACACAGATAGAAAGTGTGATTTAGGTGATGTTAACATAGATATAAAGTGTGTTCTAGGTGATGTTAACATAGATGGAAAGTGTGATCTAGGTCATTGTAACATAAATGGAAAGTTTGAGCTAAGTGATATTACCATAGATGGAAAGTGAGATCGAGGTGATGTTAACATAGTTGGAAAGTGTGTTCTAGGATGTTAACATAGTTGGAAAGTGTGATTTAGGTGATGTTAGCATAGATGGAAAGTGTGATCTAGGTGATGTTAACATAGATGGAGAGTGTGATTTAGGTGATGTCAAACACAGACAAAAAGTGTGATTTAGATGATGTTAACATAGATGGAACGTGTGATTTAGGTGATGTTAACACAGACAGAAAGTGTGTTTTAGATGATTTTAACATTGACGGAAAGTGTGATTTAGGTGATGTTAACACAGATAGAAAGTGTAATCTATATGATGTTAACATAGATGAAAAGTGTGACCTAAGTGATGTTAACATAGATGGAAAGTGTGATTTAGGTGATGTTAACACAGATAGAAAGTGTAATCTATGTGATGTTAACATAGATGAAAAGTGTGACCTAAGTGATGTTAACATAGATGGAAAGTGTGATTTAGGTGATGTTAACATAGATGGAAAGTGTGATCTAAGTGATGTTAACATAGATAGAAAGTGTGATTTAAGTGATGTTAACATAGATGGAAAGTGTGATTTAGGTGATGTTAACATAGATGGAAAGTGTGATCTAAGTGATGTTAACATAGATGGAAAGA